TAGTATCACTTCTGCTTCAGCTCTTATTTTGACCACACATAAAAAGTTCAAATGCAATTTTTTTTTTTTTTTGTGATCGCTTACATTTTTATGAAGACTGTAGGAAAGACTCTAGATAAGAGGAAATCTCAAATGCAAAAGATGTTGCTTAGTTATCTTAAGCTAGGGCACATTACAAAATCATGTAGAAGTATTGTTCAGCGTGTAATATGTGACGAGATTACGCTCTGCTTTGTCCAGGCTGGAAGAAAGTGTCTATCCACTTTCCAAGCAACTTCTACAGAAAGCTAATGCACTTCATTGTTTACAGAAGAATCCTCTCTATGGTAAATCTATCTAAAGACAGTCTTGATTAAAGTTTGCCATAAAGGAAGCCATGTTCGTACAGATCTTGATGACCCTCACATCTACACGGAAAAGGATTAATTAAGGAACGGAAATTTTTCTCCTAAGGACAAAAGTTTAGATTAAAAGTGCCATTTTTTTTTTTTTTTTTTTTTTTTTTTTTTTTTTTTTTTTTAACTTAACAGATGCTGGCGATAATGCACCACCAATATGAATTCTCCTTGGCACGGATATTTTAGGGAGGATTTTAACTTGCAGAATTCAGGTATTATTATCAGGAGTTTCAGCTCTAGAGACCTTGCTTGGCTGGACCATTGTAGGTCTCAAAAAGAGTTGTTAACACTGTGCCTAAAATATTTTCAGATGAAAGATGTGCGAGAGTTAAGAAACTTTGGGCCTCCAAGATCTGACTGAACAGAAAAGCACAAAAGTATTAGAAGATGAAATTTTATTGCATTTCAATGAAACTTTAACTCCTAACAGTGATAATAAATATGAGGTGGCTTTATCTTGGATAGTGGGGCATCCTCCTCTCCATGATAACTATGACGTAGCTGAAATGAGGCTGCAATCTGTCACTACATGGTTATGAATAGAAGATATCTTTGATAAATATAATGAATTTTTTTTTTCCAGTGACCGAAAGAAGGCATAATAGAAGAAGTAGAGTTATCTGCTATCGAAAGTACAGTTCATTTACCTCATAGACCGGTATCAAGTACAACCACAAAGATATGCCCTGTATTCGGTACCTCGGTAAAGGTTGCTGGTTGTGGTTTCTTAAATGATTGTCTGAGTATAGGACCTAGTCTTATACAACTGGTTCCCGCACTATTAAACAGATTCCGATTGCATGCTGTAGCAGTAATAGCAGATATCAAAGAAGCTATCCTGCAGCTTTGTGTACAAATAGGATATTGAGATGTTTTATGGTGAAAGGCTCCTGGAAAATTAAAGGAACATACACTCTGACGTGCAGTGTTTGGCATTACAAGCCCTTTCTTGCTAAATGTGAGTATTTCACATCATTTAACTTTAGCAAACTATCAAACAGAAGACCTAAAATTTAACACAGCTACAAGCAGGTTGTATCAGTTTTGCATGTCCAGCAATGCTGTTGCCAAAGCTCTTGTTACAAAAAACCTGCAAAAGGAAACTTGGTTGGGATGAATCACTAACGAAAGATCTTCTAAAGAAATGTAATGAATGGTCAGTAGAAGAGAAGAAAATAAAATGCAATAATTGCATTTTATTTTGAGTTGCCTGTTTGAGTGGCATTCCAGGTGTGTTTTAAGAAAATTCCAGTCTATCCACGTAATACACGTTAGCTGCGCTAAGAGGTAAATTAATTATGGTATTACTTGAAAACACACAAATTTGCCAATTATGTATGACTTATAATATATATATATTCCAAAGCTTACTATTAAACTTTATATGAGTTGTTTCTCACTGAAGATGAGATTAGAATCTGCCAAATCTGGATTAAAAAAGTCTTTTTTTTTTGACATATTTGCAGCTCAAAAAAAAGAAATCTAATATTTTTTAATAAATTCAGGTATTTTATAATTATTAGCAGCATACATAAGCAAAAAATATGGCATTAAATTTTGTGATGGTATGGCCATACTGCTAGAATTAATTCAGGATTATGCCCAGAGAAAAATTCTGAATTTGAAAGTATTATTTACCAATAATAAAAAATTTAGAGGGAAGAAGAAGAACATTAAATATACGAATAACATAAAATAAAGATAACTACTTAAAAATTGAATTAGAATAATCAACGACATTTTAGCAAATATAGTTATATTAAATGGCTAGCCTAGATGACTGATTACTATTTTTTTATTTTACTGCAAAATGACAAATAGGGCATTTATTAAAAAGGAAAAAAAAAAAAAAGTTTAAAACACTTTGGGGTAAAATTCTAGTATACGCTAAGGCCTTGGCACGATTTTGAAAATTGTCGCCAAAACCAAAATAACCCGTTTTACTGCTCAGCATAATGTCGCCAAATCCCGTGTGTACCGTACATGGAGATTAGCACAGAATACATGGAGGTTATTCTAACCAAAGAACATCTATGTAAAGAAGGAAAGATTGCGTAGACGTAATGCTATTACGGCGCTAAAAAGTGGAGGGAAAATTCGCCAAGGGATTTGGCGACGGAACCTGGCTGCCAAAATTTCCCTCTCCGCAATGTGTACAGGAAATTGAGGAACTGTTGTTAAGAAGAAACGTTCTTTGACAAAACGTTTCTTTTTTTTAATTTTCGCAATAATTTCTTGTTTTTTTTTTTTTTTTTTTTTTTTTTTTTTTTTTTTTTTTTTTTTTCGGATTTGATTTTTTTTTTCCCCCTCAAAATAACTAATCCATTAATGAATTTACTTACGAGAAAAAAATATTTTCTTTTCCTTTAAAGTTTAACGAAATTTTGAACGATATTCATTTTACGAAATCTTGATAAAGTGACCTTCGAACTCCAACACAGGCTTCGAGCTTTGGTGACAGATATTTCGCACGACAGAAACTCCTGTTGCAGAGAAGTTTTTCCTTCTTAACAATATATATTCTTTGATTCTTACCTCCATGGTACCGTATACTAGGATTAAACCGATTTTGTTTTATACGAGAGTAAGTATTTTGTTTAGTTCAACATGCACTGCACATGCGCATGCGATTTTCTAGGTTACTGGAAAGCAAAGCTGCTGGAAACTTGCTTTGCCTTTCTAAAAGACAATCTAATTGGAGCTGCGAAAATTGGCTCTATGCCAGCTGTCCGAATGATGCTCACAGGATACACATTCGCCAAGAAAGTGATCGCTTCCAACATCGGCGCAAAACTCGCTTTTTGGGAGGGGGGGATCGCTGTATGAAATTCCCTGACTTTTCCAGATTTTGACTAAAATATTTAAATTCCCTGAATTTTTTGGTCAATTTTCGAATTCCCTGACATTTTCGGTTTTCCAGGTAGCGTGGCAACCCTGGCAATTTGAACCCATGAAATATATTGGGATATGGTGATTGGTGGAAACGTAAGATATGCAGTATGAAAGATCTGGTGAAAAGAATCCTTGGCAGAGCTAGTGTATAAATTATGAGGCAATGTCAACAGTTCTATGTAATTGTGAGAATATAATCAAGACCTTTAACTTATTTTTTGCACAATCCCAAGGAACCATCACCATTAACATTGGCACATTTCCTATGCGAAATTCCAAATTCTACAAATTATTATACTATTGAATTTGACACAATCGATGGAAGTCATTTAAAGAAAAGGCTATAGTACTTGAAAAATGTTCAAGATTGTTTTTTGAAAGAGATTCCAGAAAGAATATCTGTCTGAACTTGTAAGGGATCTGACCATTAAGGCAAGAGGTAATATTCAAGTAGGAGATGTGCTTGTGAAATCTGATAGTTCCGAAAGAATTAACTGGCCTTCAGCTATAATAATGGAACTATTTTACAGGAGAAGATGGGGAAACAGCAAGTAGCTCGAATGAAATTGGCAAACATAATTAATTATCGGTCTCCTTCAGTAGTTATATCCCTGACAAAGCTGGAAGCTTAGGACCCAGATTACGCCCTAAATGGAAAGGAGGAGATACTTTACCCAGTTGTGATAGTTCAAAACCATATCCTTCAGACTTGACATTACACAGTGATAGAATTGTTTCAAATCCTGAAATAATACATACTCAAAGTGGACGCCAGGTAAAGCAACCCAAAAGACTGAATTTATAAGTACTACCCTTATGAATATTGATTAAAATGTCAATGTTAGATTAAAGTTTTTAAGGAGTACAACAGTTTTGTTTTGTAATACGATGTACAAGACAAAAGATGGGAGATGTTACATATTAATATTCATTGCTATCAGTTTTAGAATTGGGTTTTTATTTTGTATGTATCCATAACAAGACATGTTATAACATAGACAAAAATAGTTTGTAAGTAACTTATCTAAAACTTCTAAGTTAATAAAAGTGTCTATATTTAGTTTACAAGTATAAGAATCTTCTGTGTTACTTCTCTTGAGAAGTTACAACATAGAAATTATTCTACGCTAAGCAAGATGCACAGCATAGTATATTTATTCACTTTAAAAGTCACACTAAGTTTTAAAAAGGAATCATTATTACTGTAACTAAGCAACAAACGTCATATTATTTCAAAATATGTCATTAACCCCTTAACTGCCGTGGGTGTATATATACGCCTTGCGCAGCCGATGCGTTAACTGCCCCAGGCGTATATATACATCCTTCCAAACTGCTATCATTTGCTTTGCGCTGCTACACATAAAATTATTCGCAAAGTTAACGCATCGGCTGCGCATCTGGGCCCAGTTAACGCATCGGCTGAGCAAGGCGTATATATACGCCCGCGGCAGTTAAGGGGTTAATCCTTTCTAAGAAGAGACTGTTAGAGTATCTTTCTCAATCGAAAGAAAGAACAAACATAAATTATTAACATTTGGATGAACAAATGAAAAACCAAACTATGGAATAGCAGGCATACTTGATGTTGCATATGAATCAAATACAGATGACATCAAAACTACATGCTATAGTACTTTCAACTAATAGTAAAGAGAACTAAGCTTTTAAACCAACTGTCATTTCTATTGCATAAAATTAAACACTCACCAAAATGATAAAGAATAATCGCCAACAAACGTCTCACTTTCTCTAACAAGAAATGTGCCATCACCTAAAAATGAATACTGATTCAGAAGTTCTTCTGCTTGGTTGCGACCATGCGGAAGTTTCCCATGAAACCATTTTTCACCAAAGTGAAGTTCGTCACTTGGAACACCCTGAAATGAATACTATATATTTCAATTTAGTTGAGATAACAAGAATAGGTTGCAGATTGTCTTAAAATTAATTTTTTAGTTAAACTGATGCAATATGCAAATAACACATAAAATCATTTAATACAAATATGTGTTGTCTAATAATTCTATTTTATTGGAACATGACTGGATTATGTTAAGAAAAAGATTTTTATTTAATAAATCAAAACAGTGGTGCTTCGAGAAACAGAATTTTTTATTTAAATGTACATTAGGTAGCATTATCAAAATTCAGATATTGCTTCTTAAAAGCTAAACTACTCTAGAAAATCATCTGCATTTCAATTATATTCACTTTCTTTCAACCAGATCGATTTAAATTCTGATTATTAAACCTCAAGTAGACATATCCTTGAACACACTAATTAAAAATTTATTGGTGTGTACAAGAATGACAAATGTCATCCACGTTATTTTTACAGCTCAGTATGATTGAAATGTTAAATAATTACTCATCCGATCTGTAGAAGAAATCTTTTAAAATGTTTAACAGAAAATTTTATTTCAGATATTTAAATTAGGAGAATCACAATGTGAATAATATGAACAACAATTATGCTTATTTTTGTTCCCTTCATCAAGCTCTTTAGTAGAGTCTTAATTGTAACCAGTTTTTAACCCTCCATGCATTACGAATGTCAAGTTCTTTATAGATGGCTTTCCAATTCATTACATTTGAAAATTTCTGCCAGCTCCAGATGGCTCTGATTTGAGGTTATATATATATATATTGAAAAAAAAGGGGGGAATCAAAGTACAAAGGGAAAGGGTTTCAATTGTAATTAAAAAAATGCCATTTTTCATTGCATTTTGGAGAATTTCAGAGTTTCAGGACCAAACCTGTAACATTTGGAGGGTCAGAAATACATTTTCAGTGTCTTTGAACCAACAAATTGAGTCTACTTCAACATTATCAGAAATGTTATATTTTAATGTAAAAGTCCTGATGTGAAGATCATTACTTTTGAATGTTTACATGTTTTGAATGTTATTGTTTAGATGTGCAAAATAAAAATATAACAAATTAGTTCATTGAATGGAGTAGAAACTTTAGAAAACTTTAGAATGGAATACAACTTGAGAAAAGAGATTAATTAATGACTCTTAATAGTTAAGTATACAAATTAAAAATTCTGTTAACTATATAGCATTAATTACATACTCATATGTAGCATTCATATGTACGTACCCATAACTAGCACATTTTTCTACTCATTTTCAGCTTTTGAATGCTAACGTTTTCTTCTACTGTTTTAGAAAAAAAAAAAAAAAAAACTATTAATTAATCCAAAAATATGAACTCTTTCTTACTTGCGCTTACAAATCATTAAGCGAATTAGTATTTGCAACTTTCAAAGTCTAAAAAACACATGCCTGCGATGATTTGTAAGTGCTTTATTTTTTACAACGATGTTTTAAAAACTGATTTTTTAACTGCTTTATTTTCAATAACGATATTTTATGCCACAATGTTTTAGAACTGCAATGTTTTTTCCTTTGCTTTCTTTTCTTCCACGTGTTTTTGCTTCGTGTGTGTTCTCCTGGATGTTTTCGTCCGGCATACTTTCGGCAGTCACTGTGACAAATGCTTTGATGCAGAAAAGTGCACCTGTTCCTGTAGAACTACAATAGTACTTTTTAGATTTTTGTATGCGAAGAAATATATATGAAGACAGACAGGCATTAGCAGATAGGCATTAGCAGGTAGGCATTAGGAAAGTAAGAGAAAGAGAATGCGACATGTTGAAGAAGAAAGCTTGATTCAGTATGATTTAATTTCAGTCCCACTGACTAATTTTAAGTTTGGTTCTCAAATTTGAAATTAGTATTGGCTGAAGCGATATGTAATTACCTGCATGAAGAACCTTATGTGGCAAGAATTAATTTTAAAATGATGCAGCTAAGAGCAATTTGTTAAAGCAGTTCCTATTTTTATGATGGAAAAGGGAAATAACTAAATTAAAATGACTTACGAGACTTCCATTGCAATATCTTTAAAAATATCATCACTTAGATATAATTCAAACATATTTTGTCTGGTAAAATTTCTAACAGTTCTACTTACACCTTTAACTCTTTAAAGGGCACCAGTATATAATACATACAAGAAGTTTGTCAGTTTTTAACCTCCTAAAAAATGCTAATTTTTCTACATTGAAAGTTGTAATCTTGAGTTCCTAGTGTTTCCTTTCCATTCTAAATGGAAGCATTATCCTACGAATGCTCAATATTTTGCAGTATTGAAATTAATATACCAGGCTCAAAGGTATCAAGTTAGAAGATTCATAAATTCTACTCGAAGGGAGGAAAAAATTTAAAATCTTCAAATATATGACATGCACATACTGAACCATTATACTCTTATTTCATTTTAATCTAGACTAATAATTAGAAAATATTATTTATACAATTTCAATACCAGTATATAAAATATTACCAGTGCCCATAGAGAGGGTACCTTGCCAACAGATGGTAGCAACAGGGTTCTCCTTCCCTAGTTTTTTGGGGCGACATAATTTATTTATATTATAACTGTTCATGATATAATATGATACAGTTGTTTATCACAAATTTACAAGTTGTTTAAGGTTAAATAATATGTTCATGAGAGGCTAGGGAGTTTAATGACCCTAAGCTATAATAAAAGTATTTTAGTTTCTTTTTATATTTTGCTTACTCCAGTCACATTTCCATTAATCTCTGTTTAGTTAAAATTTTAATTTTACCACTTCAGCATTTCTCCCACGATAAACTCATCGATTTTGTAATTGTCATCTAGCATCAAACATTACACAATTACGTGGGTTATATGTGGCATGTTAGCCATGAAAGACACCTGTTGCTTCATGTTTTCCAAAACCCTAGAATGCAGTGAATATGAAAAGAGGTGATTGATGGCTAATTTTGTCCTGCTATCTCTACAGCGGGATTGTAATAAGATCACACAAAAGGGAAGCTCACTTGGAAACATGGGAAATAAAAATGCATTTTAGGTCTGTCTCTTTTCACCTGGTAGTGGAATGGAAAATCTGCTGATTTGAAAGCATGCCTTTATGCTTTAGGGGATCGTCTTTGTTAATTTCAGACAAAAGACTAAGGAACACAATAAATTTTTCTCCTGGATAAGGATACAAGTAGGTGGTTCTGGAAATAAGTCTTCACAGTTGGTGAAAGAGGGGGGAAATATTTCTAAGGTTAGTTTCATGCACAAAACATTTATCTATGGAAGCAAAAAAACTGACAGATCCCACAGGGCCTATGGGCCTGATCCCCCACCCCCCAAGAAAGGGCTTCAAGGTGCATTAGTACTTTACCTCTATTGAAGATATTCTTCCTGGGCAAAATTGCATATTACTATCTCATTTATCAAAAAGTTAAAAGGGGTTCCTTAAGAAGACCAAGGGAGCTGAAATTGAAATAAGGGCTTTAAGGTGCATCAAATAATAAAATTGTTTAATGGCTTTTTCTTCCTGAATAAAATTATATATTACAATCTATATTTACAAAAAATTAAAAAAGGGTCTTTACTGGGTATGATAATTAAATCTGTGGGGAGGGAATTCTTGTATCATAGCAGGAAGGATGTTTTTATGTATTTATCCTTAAAACATCCTAAAGCAGCGTGATCCAACCCGCGGGCCTCTTATTCATTTTGTTGGCACTCGCCCTTCTTACTGGAAAAAAATGTCAGTTAAACATTTAGAAAAACAAAAGGCCCTTCTTACTGCTTTACATAATAATAAACACAATAAATTGTATATGTGAAAAACAAAGTGTAAAACAGTTGTTAAAATACAAGCTACTGGTGAACTTGCGCTGGAGAGAATACAAAAAGCAGATCTAAAGGGAAACCGCTGACATTGCAAAGCTGTCCATCAGACAGCAATTTCTTTCATTCCTAAAGCAGCAACACGTTACAATCTTCATTTCTCCTGAAATGACCACCTCAATAATAAGGCAGTAGCAATATTGGATTAAATCTGATTTATCCGGCAAGCTGGATCTTATCAGATCTTTTGGAATATTGCCTTTATTGGCACTTGATTTGCTAGAATTGTGGCGTGGTGACGATTGTGAGAACGGAAGCATGGAGGCGTAAAAGGAAAAGGGGGTAACTTATTAATTTAGAAGTCAAACAACATCTATTTGTTACCAGGAGAAAATGTGCAGCAGTGATGTTCAGCTAGCAGTCAATTTTGAATGATGGATTTTCGTCAGTCAGTTCGGAGTATGCAGGGTTACATGCCATGTGATTCAGTTCGCCAATGGATCACGGAGAAAGCTGTTGGTGGTTGGTGGATCCTAGTGCAGTCTTGTGCGTGAAGTTGAGAATAGTCATGTGACTTTGATGATAAGCTTCACTCTATGACCGTTATACTCCATAGCGTACATGCTTCCCCTTTCACTTTCATGCAGTATTACCTAAAATAACGGAACTAAAGAAACAAGGGGCTGAAAATAAGAAATGACAATTTCAATCCAAGCAGCAGGAAAGCTACTTTTTTGTTCAATATAACGGAAAACCACAGTACGTTATCTATTCTGAAGTCTTAAGTGTTTCAGAAGAGTATAATTTGAGTAGACATTATACCACCAGCTTCCATAAATAAAAATACAACTAATACCAGGGACGTGTCAGGAGTTGGGTGCTTAAATATTTGACGGTGAAACTAACTAGACAGGAGAGTATCTTTTAGCAACCTTCAAATGCTGCTGGTTCGAGTTTGTTAAAAGATGTGCTATAAAAATGGCATCTTTGTTTGGACAAAAAAGACAGCTAGAAATTTTGAAACAGTGTCCTTGTCCCATCAGACAGTAAGTAGAATTAATGATATGGGTAGTGAAGTTTCAGATACTCTCAAGGGCATTTTGGGAAAATGTGAATTTTACTCTCTAGCTCTAGATGTTAGCACAGATATAGCTGACATCAGCCAGCTCCTTATCTTTGTCAAAACAATAAATGAATAATTTGAAATTCATGAAGAACTATTGGAATTAAAATCATAAGAAACTAGCACAAAAGATATTGATATATTCAATGCACTGAATTATACAATTTCTAAATATGGAGGTTTCTTGAAGTGCTCTGGCACTGCAACAGATGGAGCTAAAGCAATGGTTGGTCATAGAAATGGGTTAGTAGAACTGTGTAAATAAAAAGGAATAGATTGTTTGTTTTTCCACTGTGTTATCCACCAGGAGGCTCTCTGGGGAAAAATTATAAAGCTCAGAGAGACAATGAAAACTGTTGTAGGCATTGTAAATTTAATAAGGGGAGGCAAAGCCCAGAGACACGGAGGATTTATTGAATTCATGGACAATTTGGATGCTGAGTATGGTGACATTTCATTGTGCTGGCTAAGTGCTGGAAATTGTCTGCAACAGTTTTTTGAGTTGAGGAATGAAATTCTTCCTTTCCTCAAAAAAGAAAACATTGGGCATGAGTATCAAGAAAAATTGAAAGAAATTCAGTTTTTAAAAAATCTTGTTTTTCTGACAGATTAAACATCCCATCTAAATGCTTTAAACTTGAAACTACAAGGCAGAAATAAAATATATCCCAGCTTTATGGATATATTAAAGGCTTTTGAAAAAAAACTTAATGTAATGCAAACTGCACTGAAGGCAAATAGTACAGCACACTTCCCATTTTGTCAGCAGCGGAAAGAAGAAAATTACACACATTTTATTATGTTTCATGAAATAATTACTGATATGAAGAAAGAGTTCTTGGGCAGATTCCAGGATTTTGACTCCCTAAAAACAAAACTTTCATTGTTAAACAACCCCATGGAAACTGAAGTGAAGTGCCTTGCGACCTTCAAATGGAAATTTGTGATCTTCAGGCAGATCGATTCCATTGGACTAAAATGTGTGATGTCGCTGAACATTTCTGGAAACTAATTTCTAAGCAACGTTTCTAAAGAATGTCCCTACTTTTGTAAGTGCTCTTTTTATTGTATTCCAAAATTCAATAGTGTTTTATAGACAAGTGGTGATAGTTTTTGTCATAAAATATGCATTTTTGGGATTTGCTTGCAATGGAAGAAATTGTAGTGAAATTTCTGCATAAATACAGTAATCTACTGCAAAACTGCTAAAAGAAATAATTCAAGAATTTATTCTTAAGAATTCTTAATTCTCCTTAAGAATTTATTCTTACAGAGTTCGCTACAAAATTTCCATCAGAACAAAAGAATTAAAATCTGTTTGTAAATAGCTTTACTGATTGCCTTTCAGAATGCATAATTCAAATATAAATTATATATGTAGGTAACAAATATGCATATAGATTGTAGGTAACAAATTTTTTTTTCTAATTATAAATCATCATTCTTTCTCTTCCATAACAAATGCCAAGGCACTAATAGCCACTTGCATATTAGTACCAAGGAGGTTGCACCAATAATACAAGTATCTTTATTTGTTTATTATTTTGTATTTTCATTCTGAGAATCATCAGCTGAGGACTTGAAAAATAGTCATTTGTTATTTTAGAAAATCACCAAACATCATTAAATTTACATATTTTTATTTACTACTATAAACTAATTTAGCAGTTAATTCATTTATCACAAAGTACTTTTTACAGGCAGATTCAGATACATCACCTGTGACAATTAAATAACAGGATGGTGCATGCCCTAGCCATCAGTCTTTGTGAGTGGCAATGAAGAAGGAATATAGTTGACATTGATGCTTCCAATATGAATGGAGAAATATTGGGTCTCTCTACCCTATTTAGTTGTTTGTTAATCCTTGTTTGAGTTGGACATCGTTTTGGTGGAAGGCAGTGATCATGGTAAGTTTTAAAAAATGCAATACTCTCAACTTTCATGTGGAGCTCACGTAATTGAGTTTTTAAATGGCACAAACAATTCTTAGAAGGTCAAGAGAAGGTTGAATATGACAAACATTCTGTTTGACCTGTCACATCAAAAATTGACAAAAAAGTTGAGAAAATTACTGTAACTGTGCAGAAAGATTATGAGTATTTGGATGAAGGCAGACACAACAAACAATGATAGAGACAAGTCTGCATAAAATTGGTAATGAAAAACCTCACACATGAGCAGGAGAACAACAAAAGCTGCTCTAATATCACGTCACATTTAAGAGCAAAGCCCGAACTCTCAAAAAATCATCACATTTGATAAAATGTAGATTTTTCTGATATGACTAGAAACAAAGCTCTAATCCATGTACTGGAATATCGAGGAATAAAAAGAGTTAAAATCAGCAAGTTAAAAATGAAAGTCATGCACTTTTTTTTCCTTTCCAAATTAAGGGTATTATCCTTATTGAGTGGGGATCTCAGGACCAAACAGTAAACCAGAATTACTACATTGAGGTCCTGACCAAGCTGAGACAAAGGATGGTGAAGAAAACACTAGATTGGTAGAACAACTCATGGATGCTACACCAGAACATCGCACTGGCACACAATTCAGTCCCTGTGAAACAGTTCTTAGCAGACAAGAGAATTCCTGTGCTCAAACATCCACCATATTTACTAGACCTTATTCCATGCAACTCCTTCCTATTCCAAAAAGTGAAAAGTGCATTAAAAAGAACATATTTTTAATTAGGAGAAGAGATTGGGGATCTGCTGAAGACAACTGAAAGCCTGCAGCACTGCTTCAAGCCAATGGAAAAACATGTATATAAAGTTGTATAGATAGGCAAGAGAAGTATGTTGAACTGGATTGAGAGCAATTAAGTTTTCAATAAGGCTATTTTTCACACCAGTCCTGTTATTTGTCATACTATGTGTATACTACCAAAGTCCTTACCCAAACTTAGTTTTTTTGCACAAAATGTTTTAAATGGCGCAAATATTCATGTTTCGGCATTTTCAAAGAAATCAGATTTGTAAAAATTAGGAAATATTACCATTTTGCAGGTTCCTCTTGTCCCCATACTTTTATTTATGAAAATATTATACTCATTATAAAAATTAAAACACAAAATGTCCGACTCCCATATGACAAAAACTGACTGAGAAACATAGAAACTTGCGATTTTTTATGTCATCTTTCAGTTGGCACTGAGGGATCAATTAATAAATAAATTAAGATAATTCCACATTGACTTTTTCTCCTTAAATGTCATTCAATTAAATTATTTTGTGATGTACTAGTCTTTAATTTACAATTTTGTTACATTTTGTGCACCAAAAGAATTTTCACACAAGCAATTTATGAGTTTTGTAAGTTTGTTAAATGAAATGATATCCCATTATTTTATTGTCACACTATGTGTGTACCATAAGTCCTTACCCAGCCTTTACTTCCTCAGCCAGTGGTTGCAAACATGCACTTTCAGCAATCAAAATGTTTTAAATGGTGCAAAGATTCATGTTTCAGCATTTTTAAAGAAATCAGTTTTGCAAAAATTAAGATAACTAACTTTTTTGAAGGTTCCTCCAGTCCCCATACTTATATTTATGAAAATATTATACTCATTATAAAAAATAAAACACAAAATGTCCGACTTCCATATGACAAAAATTGAGCAAGATATTTCAAAAATAGGGATTTTTTATGTCACCTTGCAGTTTGTACTGGGGGATCAATTAATAAATTAGAATAATTCAACATTGATATTTTCCTCTTAAATGTCATTCAACGATATTCTTTTGTGATATTCTAGTGTCTTAACCTTATAATTTTGTTACATTTTGTGTGACGAAAGAATTTTCACACAAGTAATGTATAAGTTTCCTAAGCATATAAAATAAAATAATATTCTCATGATGTTTTATTAATTTAGAACCATAATCTGGTAATCATAAAAGAGTTCATTAATTACAACTTTTTTATTTATTTATTTATTCATTATTATGAAAAATCATGAGCTGACTATGTGCTCATACTGAAGGCTGCTTTCTAAAACATAAATTCTCCAAGATTCTACGAATAAGATCTCCATTTTGAAAATATTTTTATTAATCAATACCTTCCTCAATAATATGCACAGAAATGCTTGTATCTTGATCTCTTAACATCAGAAACCTTTTTCAAATCTGCACATACAAATAAAAACTTTTAACTCTTCAACTTGTGTGTCGCTGTAGACTTTGATCTCCTATTTTAATACTAAATACCTCAGTTAATGTTTGTTGTACAGGTGTCAAACTTTTCATATTTTATAATAACGAGTAAAAAAGTTTTCAAATTATAAGCATAGGGACAGGAGGAATATAAGGTAAGGTTTCAGAATTTTAACAGAATTGATTCCTTTAAACTTCGTTCAGACGGGGGCGTAAAGGGCATAAGTGGTTAAAGCTGAGATCCGTTGCCAAGGCAACCAGTCTGTGCTATGTCACAAAATCTGGTTTAAGGCTTGTGACATAGGGTTCAAAGTTTTCAACTTTACGTCAAGTTTGGGATAAGCGTCAACCAATCAGAGCGAAGCTAAAACAAAGCGGTGTTCTACAGAAGATTTCGCTGTTACAAAACAAGCAGAGCGAACGCGGGAAATCAATCAAAAAGGAGACTAGCGCAGGAAAGTTGTAGATACATCCACGCATGTGCAAATTTAGCTTCTCTCATTGGCCACCACTTACGCCCAGTTCTCGCAAGTGTGAACGGAATTCCCGTATTTTATGCCCTTATGACTACGCCTCTATGCCCTTTATGCCGCCGTCTGAACGCAACCTTAAAAATGCTAAAATATTAATCTTTGTATCGCTTAAAACAATTTTGTAAGGGAAAGTATATGTCTGTGACCATAGATTGCAAAAATAACGGCCTTTTGTGGGCACATATATTCCAACATATTTATAGCAATATGTTAGTGGACCTTCCTTGTTAGTCATTTTAAATTTTATGACAAACAATTTTAAAACTAACTTCTCGAGGCTCTGTATTTGTATTATCTTCAGTGTCATCGTCATCATCGAGAGGTTGCTGCTCTTCAGCATAATACATTTTATTCTGCGTTAGCATGAAAAAATGCTGTCTCCATTCATGATCCACAGGATCTTCCAAATACAAAATTCCATTTTTTACTGCATTGCTAATATCAGATTCAGCACCTGCTGAAATGATAAATAACATTTGTTAAACAAAATATTTTACACATTTACATTGCATATGAACTGAAAAACATACTACAGCAAAACTTATTTATAGATGAGCTTAACGAAGAAAACTTAATTCTTAAATTAAAACCACAGAGTTAAAAATTCTACATCAACAGGTGCAAATAAGGAAAAAGAATTATTAAGGTACTTACAGAAAATCCCGTCGACCATTTTTTGCTATCGACGAAAAGATGCCAAACTACATGATTTTTTGCCAAAAATGGAAAAGCCTTCTTCAAACATGCTGGGTTTGGTGTAACCTTGATTACAGTGTTAGTTATTATTCTTGAGTAAAGGATTCCCTTTTCCCCTTGTATCACGCATTTTCAAAAAAAAAAAAAAAAAAAAAAAGATTGAAATTTGGCCTGCCTACTAGCATGCTGTTGAATATATTCCAAGGTTATGGAATCTTGCCGGCGATTAAATTAAAACCTAGAGAAAATAATTGCTTTTACAGTATATCTCCTTAATAAAAAATAATGGAAATTTTAAATGAAATTAGTAAATGGGCTTTTTTGGTTTGGCACAATTGGCGCCGTCTCTTGTGGTCGACGGAATTTTTCATAAGTACCATTATTAATTACAATACACAAAATCAAAAATTATAGTCATTGGTATTATTCTCAGGATATTATATTAATTAAAATAGTTCATTAGGGATTTATTTTTAAGTAGATAAATTAGCTAGCTGCAAATTTTTATTTTCTTTTACATAACATTCATATCATCAAATTCTGCTCATGAAACCCAACAACCTGTGATAAAGTAGTCAAGCATTTTACCATATTAAATTAAAAGCTCATTGAGAAAGTACCATTTTGGTACTTAAAAAGGTTAGCAATTTGCTTTCATTTGTATTTCATTACAAAAAAATGTGAAGTGGATGAAGCTAGATCTGGACAGAGAAGTCAGTAGTCCTCGCCTTTTGTTTTATATCGCATATAACTTCTTCAGTGTCTCACAATAGCTGCAGCATTAATTTTTGTGCCTCGTTCTAATTCAGTCTACAAACAAATATTTTTTCTTCTTTTTTTTTAAGATAGAGGTGGCTTTGCTTTCTTGGGCTTTGAGGAAACAGTATGCTGCCATTCCAGTGACTGTCAATCTGCTACAGCTGTCTCATAACAAATCCATATTTCATCACCTGCGACAGTCCTTTCCAAAAAATCATTTCCTTCTGACACACAAACACATGTATAAACACATCTTCTGCCTTCATGTGCAATTTGGTGCCTGGAAAAGGAGCAAGCTTATGTTGAACTTAAAATTAAGCAAGAAAGCGAAGTTATACTGGTGGAGATTTTTAACAAAACTAATCGAGTTCAAACTACTTCTTGCCACATAACTGACTTCACCAACAACAAACATCTTGAAGAAAAACCCCAGAAAAAAAACTCAAAAATGACAAAACATTTTTAAATGTTCTGCGCATCCTAGAAATAAAGAGCACAAGATTGGAAATACATGCACAAAAAGTTACTCAGTGATATGTTAAAAAACTCATTTTATGTACAAAAAAGGTACAAAAATTATGTGATACATGATATGGCCAAAATTAAATATTAATATTCCTAATACTTTTTAATTTTTAATATAATTAATTTACAGTAATGAGATTTAAAAAAAGCAACTTCAACTGCCAGCTAAGCAAATGTCAATAAGTATTTGCTTATACTATAAAAATAACGGAACTACTCTGATATGCGCCCTCAAGTCGCCAATTTCTCGCCAAATATTTTTGGCGAGAAACTTCCACGGTGCCATATTGACTATCTAAATTTTTTGTCTACATTTTGAAACTTTTAAGCCTAAAATTGTCTCCAAAACGTGGTTTTCGCACAATGCAAAAACTACGTTTTGAACACACAATTTAAGCTAAAAATCCGAAACAAAAACAAAAAATTTAGATAGCAAAAACGTAAAGTTTCTAACCAAAAATATTTGACAAGAATCCATGTACACAGCGACATGTTTTAACTTTAAAAAACATCTACGAATTGCACAACGTAGGCAACGAACGAATCTACAAACTATGCAAACCTCGCTTTAATAAATTAACATAACAACAATAAATTTCAAAGAATACCATGTACACAGCATCCTGTTTTAAACTTAAAAAAAAATTCTACGAATTGCACAATTTAGGCCAAGGAAAGGAATCTACGATCTACGCACACCTCACCTTTAATAAAATTAACATAACAACAATAAATTTCAAATAATACCATGTACACAGCGTTCTGTTTCAAACTTTAAAAAAACATCTACGAATTGCACAATCTAGACATTGCGCACAAATCAACAAAATAAACTAAAATAAATTTCAAACAATTCAAAAAACAACAATAACGAACAGAAATTTATACTAAAGAAAACAATGAACATAACATTCTACAAAATAAGAACAAGGATAAAATAAAATGCACTTACCATGAATTAATGCGTTTTCGAATAGCAGAAATATAAATTTCATACCGCCTTTAACATGCCGCCACGTAATCACTATTGTATTTACATGACAGCCAGACACACTATCCAGAAAATTTATACTATGGTTCACAAATAAATAAAATCACAAATCCCTACTTCTATCATGCACTGCCATTAAAAATAATCTCCCAGACCCTCTTTCCACACTTCCAAATACCCACTACCCCTCAACAGGATAGCCACAATCATATTACCTTTTGCCGAACTTCAATTCAACAACTACCATTTTATCTTTCCCTCCCATCTTCTCAGACACAGAGGCGAACCAACGAGCTCCAGCGAAAGATTTTTCAACGTCAACAGGGTTGCCATAGAACACGCAATCGCGCCAAAAACCAGCGCAGAACACATATCGCCACATTTGGTGAAATTAGGGCGTATATTAGAGTTGTACCAAAATAACAAAACATCCTCTTAAAGTGCATGTCTACTCAAATAATACTAAATCGTTAATATTTCATATAAAACTAATGTCATATGGTTCACAGAATGATTTTCATTTCTTTGAGAAAGATTTTGAAATTCAAATACTTACCTTCATCACTTCGCACCACAATTCTTTCTTCATGTCCATCAGGAAGTTTCTTATGCTGGAAATTTTAAAATCCTTCAATGAATAAATGAATGTGATAAGAAATACATCTTTGTATGTACTACAAGAAATTTCAGTCTAAAATTTCAACACCCATTTTCATCAATTAGATATTTGTATCACGCAGCCATCAGATTTTACAATTTTTAATTTGTGTGTATGTCAAAGAACCACAGTAATATCGGTACAAAAAATCTTAGAGCTAGAAAAAAATATTGGATGCTGTTGTGGAAAATGCTGTCACGTTCCGGAATATTATTAAAAAACGATATATTAACAAAGATTTAGGCAATAAGAAGGCTTTCAAAATTTATTTTTAAACCTCATGTCTCAATTGATATATTGCTTTTAAAAACAATACAGCCTTCATTTTAAGGTAAAACTAGTATTCAATGGTTAGGTTAGTACAAATAAAAATTCACTGCATTCTATTTTCAAATTATATTGGTGCTCATACAAGTGCAAAAATTTTGACTAAAAAAAATCACTAATTAAAATTACATGAGCTTACCTGTGGCTGAAACATAAAAGGCATTATAACACAAAAATACAAATTAAAAAATTGAATCTTAAGTGTCTAGAATAGAAAACTATATTATCAAATGAATATGACTGAAATAATATGTAACGAACAGAATTTTAGGAAAAATCAGCATATGTGATTTGGGACTCTCAATAAAAGAGTCAATTAGACGTTGGAGAAATAAGTGCCAACTCCAGTACTAATATGGTTTTCAAGGCAAAACAGAAGAATTTTGCCAAGCAACAGTTCTCCCAATGATGAATACCTTCGGTTTTTCAAGATTCATCTATCACATTTCATTGCGGATACATATTATTTACAAAAAATAAATGCAAATCTACATGCACTTTCTTAAAAAGCCTTACAATGAGTTGTTAAAAATTTATCTCACAATATCTCATAGATGTGCAAAGATATATACTCATTGGTGATTAATCCTTCCTGCATCACAACATCCAAGCTGCCATAAAGTCATATTCCCTAATGATGATAAAGGCATTCGAGAAATAAACCGGCCAATCAAATCTCCAGATTTAAAGCATATTGAGAACTTACATCATACTCTTCGAAAAGCGGCTGCACTGCAAAATTTCCCTTCCAGCGATACCGGTACTTTGTAGGTAAGAAGGAGTAGGTGGAAGAGTATAGCTCGCATGTTTCTGGTTTTCTCTTGATCCAAATGCATTTAGAATTAGATATTAAACTGCATTTAGAATAATGGAATTTGCCCACTTAATAGAATATACATAACAGGGGGACCGGAAAGTAATGTCGTTTCTGAGCATGTCGATAAAACAACATGCTAAGGGCAGAAGTGGAGCAAATCCATGTCAAACATTATTAACCAACCTTGGTCGACCATCCAAGAACATTTAAAGCAGAATTGAAAAATAAGCAAAACAGGTGTTTGACTCACCACCATAATCTGTCCGAAAAGAATAAAGCCAACCTATCCATCAATGCAATGCATTGCTTCAACGGCACCATACAGAATCGTTTTAAGTCCTGTATGATAATCCAAAACTCAAAAGGCAGTTTTAATAGGGGTTACAAAGGGTTTACATCCCGAAAAGGTGCTTCTGGGTGTTTGATGGAGTATTCGCGGAATTGTTAATTTTGAATTGCTGAAACCTGGACAAACTGCTAATGCAGACCTTTATTGCGAACAATTGGATGGAGTGAGCCAATCTTTAATAGAAAAATATCAATTGTCAACAGAAATGGCGTCATTCTGCAACACGAGAATGCAAGACTGCACTGTGCAAGGCAAACACTGGAAAAAATTAATGAATTGGGGTGGGATGTACTGCCATACTCACCTACCATACTTGGCCGATATCACAGCATTGGATTTCCATTTATTCTGATCCCTACATTTTCTTAGTGGCAAAAAATTTGAAAATTTGTATGATGTCAAAATGTTCTCTGGAGATATTTTATTCAAAAACCAATTGATTTTTATCGGTCCGGGATTAAAAATCTGCACATTAAATGGCAAAAGGTTGTTGATAACGAGGGTGATTATATTACTGATTAAAAATAAAAAAATTGTTAAAAATGTACTTGTTTGAATTTAATGTAAGAAAGCAACATTACTTTCCGGTCCCCTTATTACATTGTTGCAGGCTTTCTAACTGTAGTGCTCTATGCATTAATTCAGGCAATTCCTTTTTTATGGTGAGACCTACAAAACACTAACCATTTGCTTTCTGTAATAAACACTTTCCTTACTATGCCCAGATGCAAATGATCCAGTGGTAATTAAAACCTGTAAACTCAGTCATCTAGCTGATAGAATTCAATTATAAAGGACAATTATGGATAGAAACTGATTTTCAGAAGAAGCTTTTCTTCTTTTACAACAGTTATGGTAGCTTTAAAATATTTCCAGAGTGTAGTAACTGTGCATCTTGAAATATTGGCCATCTTACCAGTTCTGTAACTGATGTCTCTGCTTCTGAATGGTTGCAATTCTTCATGTAAATTATTTCCAGAGTATAATAACTGTGTGTCTTGAGACATTGGTCATATTACCATTTCTGTAACTGACGGCTCTACTTCTGAATGGTTGCAATTCTTCATGAAATACTTTAGCGATGATGCATTGTTTCAAATGAACATATTTAATAATTCTACTTTATAATACCTAAAGTATCAAACAAATCTTAGAATCAATAAATGCTGAATTTCTGATTTACAGAAATTTAGGGAAAATGCAATCTATGTGTAGCACTTGCCTTACTTTAATACGGTAATTTCCATGGCTTAATTTGCATTTCAAAGACATCAAATTAGATGAGATACTTACAAATAAGTTTGCTTTACTGCATTATATGAAAAATACATCAGATTTAAACCAGTTGCTTTATGAAAGAGTATTACTTCTAGGCATATAAGGATACCTTTAAATAGCAGTTTACATACTTTTGACTCAGAAAAACAAACTGATGTGGTCATTTAATTCATACAGCTGCTGGGGAAAAGAAACTTGAATGAACCAACCTTGATTATAATTTTGTACTTCAACTGTGCTGGTGATGGCATTTGAGCAGCATCCCTTTCAATGGGTTGTGTCAACAACATATCTGTAAAAAATGTAAGTTCACTTAAAGTTTTCCTAAGTCTTAAATTTGTCCAGTAGTAATAAATTAAAAAAGGGAAAAAGTCTTTATTTTTAATCTATTTATATCACAGCCCCAAGAACATCAAAGAGATTTACAGTGAATGAAGACAGAAAGTTATAGTTACATCAGGACGTGCACTGCACCGATGTCATCGCAAACTCATACTGATTTTCCAAATAAGAAAATGAAATATATTCATACATGATCAGAAAAAATTCTTCATGTACGTTTGATGTCATACACTGAAAGGGATTTAAAAGGACCATGTTATAAGTTCCACTATACTATTTACTTCAGAGTTGATACTGTCGACTAATTAGAGGGACTGTGTAAAAGGGCTCTAGGGAGTTACGGGATTTAAAATTGTGAGTTTAAAATACTGTGAAAGAAATACAACAGAATTATAGTCCATGTATGTGTTACTATTGAATGACACAAATGATGCTGTTTAGAGTATCCAATTAGGAGATAATTGAAAAATTGCATCCCATCTTTCTCTTCAAAAAGAATACCAATAATTCTGCTGCTAATACAGTAGCCAATCTGTTTTTCTGTCAATAGACAAAAACATTTTTGTATGAAGAGAATAAAATTTGGAAATTAATATTCAGCATATTATAGAAATTCTGAATTTAAATAGGACAGAAACTTGTCAATGTAAAATTTAAAAAATCAGCAATAACACCGCCTCAGTTTGGCATAGATTTTGGATAAGGTTCTATCGATTTTAAGGGTGATAAAGCAGATACCTCTTCTTCATGGAAAAAAAAAAAAAAAAAAGGTTTTGCAAAATAGAAGGAGTGACAACTTTTCAACTGTTTTCATCTTGAAAGCAGTGAGCAGAGCAAAGTAAGCAGGAACATAGTGCGATCTGCCAAGAAAATGAGTAACAAAATGTGAAAAAAAAAAAAGATATTTTAATTCTGAAAGTGTACCATTAAAATAATGTTAAGACAGACTGGGCTGGAATTAATTCCATTAGCTAATGATAAATTTTTGTGAATGTGAAAAATCTTCCAGGAAATTTGATTCATCAATTGAAGAAGCTTTATGAATTAATTTTCCAGAACTTAAGTCAAAATTCTGATTAAGTGTCCAAAGAATAAGAAGAGAAACAAATGAATACTTCATAGCTAAGCCCAAATGAGCTACAGAAAAAAGAATTATATATATATATAAGATAAAAAGAATATTCTTCATGCTTTTGCTTTGATATAACAAAATAGGATAGCTGCTTAAAAAAAATTACTGCCGACCTCAAAATTATCTGGTGCTCTCCCCCCTAAATTCATCTGTTCATCCAAATTCGAGATCTTTCTACGTTACATAATGCTACTGAAAAAGGGCAACTAAAATTAATATTAATCAATCATAGCTTGTCTCTAGAATCGCACCTATTTTGGTATAAATACCGCTGGCGAGTCAATTACACCATTATTCTGCTGCATTCCTTTTCTAGCTTCCACCATTGCTAATGTGTCTACTGTGCTCTGAAATGTAAAATGATTGTCGCCCCCATTAACCTGTGTAAATTGAATATAAATTATCGTAATTGTTATGATTAAAGAGTATAACGTCTACGATGAATTATTCTAGTGTGCCTGGAAATCTGGTAATAAAGACGATAATTGGCTGAACTTAGTTTAGTATCAACTCCTTCCTCTCCCCCTACCACTCAGCCATTGTGACTGTGCTTTAAAATTATGACATATATACAGCAAACAAAATTACATGCTTCACAGCATCTACTTTCACTTGAATTTATGTGCTTCCATATACACATTTCTCAAAGATCATATACCAGCTCATCAAAAAAAATTAATGCAGATTGGCATTTTTTAATTACAGAAATTATAATAATTATGCATCTCATTAAATTCTGATTGATATTACGACCTTCAAGCACATGCTGATAGATACATAAAAAGCACTACTGGTACATAAAAAGTTTTAGATCGCTCTTTTTCAGGATGCCCAATACGAGTTATCTCATAGTTTCTTTACTTGCCACTTTTGCGCTGCTATGAGTTACTCGCTTAGCACTGTGTTTTAGCTGTACCGAGGCAACAAGTCGATGCATGTCTGTACAAATCAACTTGTAGTGGGCTTCTGCAAAGAGTTTCATCTATCAAAAGACAACTAAGAGATAATTCGTAGGGCCCATTCATTCTACAAAAAAAAAAAAAAAAAAAAAAAAAAAAAAAATCCTGTAAACTTTTTAATGATTGTTACGAATCATAATTAGTATTTTTGATATAATATGATTAAATCGATTTGGCTTCTCTGACCAGAATCCGAAAAGTGCCGTGGCAGTCAGAATATTAAAAAAAACCAAAGAAGAAAGCTTACAGCAAAACTGTTGATACCTCAATGTCAAAGATGAAGTAACACAGTACAAAGAAATTAGCAACAATATATTAAAAGTTGCCAGGATAAATAACATTCATCCAAAGAATAATTTTATGCACTTTCTAATTATTATGCTAAACATTAAGCTATAATTACAGCACTTTTAATGATATAAAAAAACTTCAAGCATTTCTTTACTAATAATCAAACTGAGCTATCCTCAGCAAGTTTATGTATGTCAAAATTAACTAAACTAGTCACAATTACCTATATAACTGCACTATAATTATTTATAATTTTATTTGCAAACATAAACAGATGACGTTTAAATAAATACATTTAATCTGCATGTTTGCATTACTTGTACATGCCTCAAAATAGCTGAATTTTAATTACCTCCAAATATTTCCAGAAATGCAGATGCCATATTTCGTTGTTGAGGTAAAGTGCAATGATTTTCAATAGAAAGGATTACGGGATATCTACAAACAACAAAATAATAATTACTATACTTATAACAGCGATCAGATTTAAATTAAGAAGTAATTACCATAAAAAATCACAAAATATTAGGAGGTCCATAAAATAATACAGTCAAACCCAGTTATAATTAAATTCAAGGAGTCAGAATTTTGGTTCCAACCCAATAAGTGTGTGTGATTATGGCAAAGCCTCGAGGGCTATCTGCCTAAGGGGAGGGATGCCTTCAAGGAGGACTTTCTAAGGGAAACTGGCTCATATACACGTTACACATGGGGAAAACCACGAAAACGCCCATGCAGCCAGCCCGTTCGCGGAATTCGAACCTCGGACCGAACTACCAGTGTTCAGCGACTTTACCGCTCGGCCGCTGGTGGGCTCCAAACCAATAAGCAAAATAGATTATCCAGAATGATCTCAAGTACACCAGCTAAAAAATATATATATAATTTTTTTCCTTGGAGAATATGATACTAAATAAATAATAAAAAAGGCAAGTGTGATATAAAAACGACTTTACTCAACTAACTAAGATTCTTGCATGTCTTTCTCAAAGATCGGTTTGGCTATGGAATCACACCCTGGCCAAACACAATGTATTGATTGACGTTGTGCAGATGTTGGCCATGACCACATTTTCGGTTACCTTGAGTGGTTGTATGTGTGGGAGTAGGTAACATTTTTCTCTTTACAAGGCTGACAAACCTGGTCTTTTCTGGCAATGAGTGCCCCAGAATACCATGGCAGCCTCTGCAGAGAAGGCCCTTGACTGGAGTCAAAAGTTCTAAAGCTGAACTAACAATTTTGGGTGTACAAATGCTGTATGAATGCATAAATGTAAACATTTTCATAATCAGGAAAAATATACAACTTTAGCATTTAAAGGAGTTAATATGTCATCTATCTTCAGATGTCATTCCTGTCATCTATCATTCAAACAAAACAGTACAGATAACAAACATTCATGAGCAGATGAGGCTATAAGGATATTTTTAAGGCATTGGTGCCTGCGCTATCATTTACCAGTTAATATCAATGGATTAAAAATATGAAATGTTAATCATAATTCTAGAGATCATGCATCAAAAAATGATACTCTTATTGGACAAGATGATTAAATGACACTTGAGTGAGTGCATGAGTGAGTATTTTGGCGCAAAAACCAATGATGATTATGATGCGCCAAACAAAAGGTGGGATGACCTAATTTAATGAAATGAAATATACTTATTAATAAAAAATTATAAAAAGCTACATGTACCAAATCCAGAGGATGAAGGTCATATAAAAACCTGGTAAAAGCACACATTAAAATATAATACACAATCTGCTGAACAGATTACATTAAGTAATAAAAGCCAGTCTCTTTTAAATAATAAAATAAATTACAATTGACCTCTCTTCCAATTAAACGGTCGAGAGGTAAGTCACAGCTATTAAAATATTTCTGACGAAGACTATTAAAACAAGGACACTCAATTAAAATATGACGGACAGATAGACAAACATTAAAATTTGAACAAAACAGGCTCATTCTCAGCTTTTAAAAGGTAGTTATGTGTCACTCTAGTGTGACCAATTCTGAGGCGAGTCAAAAGAACTTCCTCCTTACGATTTTTGGTTAGTTCCCAATGCTCAATTCTAGGCTTTACATGTCTTAACATGTTTTCAAGCTGAACATCCCAAAGTTGCTGCCATTTTTTTTTTTTAATCTTCTCTTTCACAACACAACCGATGTCTCCAAAAGGGATGAGGCGACTAGACAGTTCAACAGCACATTTCACTGTGATATCTGCCAGCTCATTCTCTTTTATTCCCACATGCCCGGGAACACAGCACTACAGGATTTTATATCCACGACTCGTTAAGTTTATATGTAACTTCAGAATATCCACTATTACTGGATTTTGAGTATAAGAAAAAGCTTATAATGATTTAAGCGCACTATAGGAGTCTGTATAAACTATAAATTTTTTGTGGCAGAGCCTTGAGATGTACAAAAGCCTATAATATATCGCAGTTAGTTCGGATGTTAAGACAGAGAAAGCATGGTGCAAGCATCTGCCCTCCATGTGATCTTCAATTACAAATGCCATCCCGACATGATCTTTTGACTTAAATCCATCTGTACAGACTGGAAGATAACTGCTATATTTGTGCCTGTGCTCAGCGAAGAGTTGTCTGTAAATGATCTCGTTAGTGCTTGCCTTCACATGATGCTTGAAAACATCAAGAAGCTGAATCCGTGCATTTTCCCAAGATGGGATTTCAAAATTCTGTACTACTTGGGGGCGCATATCAGAGAGGAAAAGTTCCTCAATGACTGGGCGAACTCTTAAAAGAAAGGTAGGAACACAAGATGGACGTGTTTCAAATAATGTGTTACACACATTATCAAGTAAGCACAGGCTTATTAGGATGTTCAGGTTGAGATAAAATATTAAAATATTGCAAAAGGGAGAATTGCTCATGCTTTAGATAAAGTGATGGTTCGTTAGTCAACATACATGCTCTGGACAGGAGAATTCCTGAAAGCTCCTGAACAAATCCGCAGAGCTTAATGGTGAACAGAATCTAGTTTTAACAAAACTGATGAACGAGCGGATCAATAAACAACTGAGCCATAGTCCAGTCTAGAGCAAACAAGCGCTCTGTAAATGTGAAGCATAGAGCAATGCTCTGCACCCCAGGAGGTGTTTGCCAACACTTTTAAAATATTTAGTGATTTTAAACACTTCTTTCTCAGGTTTAAAACATGAGAAAGGAAAGTCAATTTTCGATCGAACGTCACTCCTAAAAATTTTACTTCAGGTGCAACTGGAATAATTGTACCATTCAGAACATAGCTCAGGTTCAGGATGGAGACCACGCTTCCTATAAAAGTGCATGCACACAGTTTTCTGTTTTCGAAAAAGTAAATCCCTGTTTGTCTGACCATTCTTGGATCTTCTTCAGAGCCATTTGCAATAGCCTCTCTATGTATCTCATGTCTGCCCCTCGACAGCTAATCTGGAAATCATCTACATATAGAGATCCCAAGATGGTAGGGAGGAAGTTCTTTTAGTAATAGAGTTTATTTTTAAAATGAACAGCGTTACACTAAGCACACAGCCTTGAGGCACACCCTCTTCCTGTTCAAAAACATCCGACAAAACAGAGCCAATCCTTACTTGAAAAGTCCTAGTGTTCAAGAAATTCTGAATGAAAATTGGTAGGTAGCCGTGCAAGCCACTCTTGTGAAGATCCTGAAGTATACCATATCTCCATGCCTTATCGTAAGCTTTCTCAATGTCAAAGAATATTGAGACAAGGTGACTTCTTCTGACAAAGGCTTTTCGAATAGATGTCTCTAAGAAAAGCATATTCTCTACAGTCGTTCTCCCTTTTGAAAATCCGCTTTGATAAGGGCGATATAATTATTATTCTTTTCCAATAAGTTAGACTAGGCAGGCTGTTTACCATCTTTTCAAACAGTTTGCATACACAAGTGGTAAAGGTCAATTGGCCGATAGATTTGAGGGATTCCTCGAGTCTTTCCCTGGCTTAACAATAGGAATGACAACATCTGTCATCCGTGCACTGGGGAAGGTACGCTCCTTCCACACCCTACCGTAAAGAGTGAGAAAAGGGCAGTCAAGTGACGTATAGGACAGATGCTTCAGCATTTCATAATACACGCCATCCAGACCCGGACAAGACCTATGAGTCTGTAACAAAGCCCTCTTTAACTCTAGCACAGTAAAGTCTCTACTATAAGGCTCAAAGTTAGAAGAGTTGAAATCGATGGGATTTCTCTGAGAGCTGCTTGATAGAAAGAAAGAAATGCCGGTGAGTAATTTCTGCTGGAAGAAACGGCAGCAAATGTCTCACAATTTCTTCTATGGAGCTAATCACTTGGCCATCTTTTTCCAGAAAGGAAAGTGAGTGGTTTTTATATATACCGCATGCTTTTTTAACTCCTTCCCAAACCCGTTTACTAGGCGTAGAGGATGTTATTGATGACACATATGAAATCCAGGAATCTCTCTGGTTCTGCCTTCTTACTTTTCGTGCATTCACTTTGGCTTTTTTAAATGCTATGAGGTTTTGCAGAGTAGGATATCTACGAAAAATTCCCCATGCTTTTTTCTGTTTTTTCAGTGCTTCATGACACTCGCGATTCCACCATGGTTTCGTATATTTTAGTATTTTTCCTGATGTTCTAGGAATGGAAAGCATAGCTGCCGCAATAATAGTATTAGTAACAGCTTCAACAGCATCATCAATACGCACATATTCTACCATGTTCTCTGTGAGCTCTGCGGTGGAAGAGAAGAATTGCCAGTCTGCCCTATCGAGTATGAATCGAGGGGATCTCGACATGGGGTTTGCTCATTTTCGTGCAAGAGATATAAAAATAGGATAGTGATCGCTGTTGTAAAGATCATTTCTCACACTAAAAGTGCAAAATGGCAACAGAGATGGTGAACAGATGGCAAGTCAAAAGCGTGGAATGACCTTGAAGGCTCATGGAAGTACGTATCCTTCCCATTATTCAGGAGACAAAGGTAAATTGAGCAGATGATCTTGCTCAATTTGTCTTCCTCTGCAGTTTGTATCTTTACTACCCCTCTGCAGTTTGTATCTTTACTAAAGCGGACTATGGCTGTTAAAATCTGCTATTATGATAAAGGGGTGAGGCAGCTGCTCTATGAGACCATTTAAATCTTGCTGATCAATATGCTCACTTGCAGGTAAATACAGAGAAACGACTGAGACAACAGTATGAAATTTTGCTTGAGTTGTGACAACTTGGAGGGATGTCGTCAAAGGAAGTTTATTTGATGGATAATCCAACGAGGTGAGGAGGCCTACACCCACACTGGCACGCTCAACTGCAAGGTTATCCTTCCTGACAATAGGAAACCTCCGAAGTTTTGCTTGTTCCTGTTTCAGATTTGTTTCTATGTATTACTAAGCACACAGGATTTATAGGCATCGATTATAGCTTTGATGTTGAGCA